GGATTATAGGCATGTGCCACTGTGCCCACCTGCTCCGCTTTGCCTTCCCACCAGCACTGTGTGGAGGCCCCCGTGTGTCACATCCCCCGTCACTTGTCTCTGCCATTTCAGTCATGGCCGTTCTGTGGGTGTGAAGTGCTACTGCCCTGTGTTTTTGATTTGCATGTCCTTGATGACTAGTGATGGTGAGTATCTCTATGTGCTTATTGGCAGTGGCCTATCACCATAGTGAAATGTGTACCCAGGTCTTTGGCCACTTTTAAATTGGGTTTTCTTTGCACTGTTGGATTGTAGGAGCTCTTTATGTAATGTAGGTTGGTGGTCCTTGAGCAGATGTAGGATTCGAACATTGTTTCCCCCAGTCTTGGACTTTATCCTATCTCCGTGGCCTTTGAAAAGAAGCTAGGGCCGTGGGCCTGGGCCAGGAGATCAGAGGCCTTTTGTGTCAGACAATTGGACATCACTGCTTTTTCTCCTCTGCATCAGGGTCTCAACAGGACCCTTCTTAACACATCTCCTTTCTTCCCCTCCTGGCTCCTTCCCCAGACCACGGAAGTCCTCAAAGTAGGCGCAGAGCTGTGCGGTTCTTCCCACTCTGCCCACAGCAAGTCCAAGCCCATTAAAAACAACATAACAACACGTCCCTTGATAAGGCTGCATATACATTTGCAATTAAAATATACATCTCTAGGGCCGTGGGACCCCTCCCCATCTGCCCATATCCTCCATCTTAACCAGAACAACCTAAGGGGGGTGAGCACAGGTTTTGGAGTCTGAGCTGAACTTGAACTGGCTGGCCTCCTTCCCAGAAGAACCGCGTTGGTCAAGCCACGGCACATGGCCCAGTCGCTGTGCCTCCACGTGCCTCAGAGTGAAGCTGGTTAACAGGTCGTGTCCCTGGGGCCTGAGGGTCAGGAGAATTTAACCAGGTGAAGGAAGGCCCTGGCATGTGATGTGACATGGGGTCATAAATATAGTGTCCTGCTGGACAGCTCAGGGTCAGCAGGACAGAAATCCCTTCCAGTAGGGGTGTGGCTCACAGACCCTGCTGGCCACCTGGATGGCCCAACCCCTGTGATGGTGCCCTCTGCTGGGCCTGGAATGCAGCCCACAGAGATAGGGGCGGGATCCGAAGTCCGGCTGGCTCTGGCTGGGGTCTTTATGTGGACCCCGCTGGGTCCTGGTGACTGTTATGCAGGCTCCTCGGGGTGATTCTCCTCATTCTGGGCTCTTGGCTGCATCTAGACGGGGGATGGTCTGCTGGCTCCAGACCCCGTGCAGGACCACAGTGGTGTGTTCTCTTGCTCGCCACTGCAGAGAAAGCAACCGCACAGTGCCCCTGACGCAGGAGTTCCTGGAATACCAGGCCAACGGCGACGTGCACCAGGGCCCCGTTTCTGACAATTACATGTTCACTGCCAACAAGACTGCAGTGCCCGCCTGGAAGACTGTGGTGATGGAGCTCGTGAGGGGCAAGCTGGTGACTGAGGTCCGGCAGTACTTCTACAGGTGCCTGGGAATGCCCTGGACTAGCCGATGAGCGAGTGCGGCCACCCCGGGGGCCACCCTGGCATTCAGTTGAGGCTGCCATCTCTGGGCGTGCTTTCTCATGTGCATGGGCCTAGTCATTTGGCCGGAGCCTGGGTTCAGAGAGGGCCTCTTGTTAGGTCCAGGCCCACACAGCAGCTCCATGGTGTCAGGGACCCAGGCTCCTCCTGCAGCATTTCTGAGTGTGCCATTGTGCACATGGCCCTGGGAGGCCCCCTTTGTACCCACCCTGCCAGCAGGAAGGACGGGGAGAGGAAAGGAGCACAGGGAGGCTCTGCAGCCTTACCTCCCACACCTCCTCCTCCTCCAGGAACACCACTGCCCAGAATTACACCTTTGCGATCCACTCCCGGCTTGCCCACGTGTCTTCGGACCCCGACCAAGAGCTTCTCTGTCACCGGATAGAGCAGAAGTACCGAGTGGGCCCCTTGGAGCTGAACCGAGAGGCCATCCTGAGGACCAGCAGTGATATAAGTAACCAGAAGCTCATCTATTCAGACAACAATGGCTACCAGATGCAGCGGAGGCCCTACCAGGCCTTTGTGAACAACGTCATCGCCCGGGTAACCCACCTTGCCACACACTGCACCCTGCCACACGCTGCCTGACCCCTTTAAGCAGCAGAGGCCTCTGGAGAGAGTTCCTTTAATGCCCCCGTACCCCAGATCTGCCTACGCAGGGTTGAGCGCACAGGCTCCCAGTCAGACTGTGACTGGATTCGGGGGCTACCACATATGTATGAGAGAGCTGGGTTTGTACCTCTTTCCCTTCTGAAGAATCAGTGCTTTGTCAGTGGGTCCTTTTGAGGGTTGGTGTGCTGCTGTGTCTTGAAGGCCTAGAGCCATCAGCTGGGCCAAATGGCTAGGGAGCAACAGAGCAGAGAGCTGAACCCCCGTGCACTGGCCTCCAAGGTCAGGGCACCTCCTCTGTGTGCCACTGAGCCTTTGGGGTCTGGCCGGGCAGCCTGCACCACCCTTTACCCAGAATGCCCGCTGTGGTGCTTATGTTGCAGAATTACTTCCCCATGGTGCAGTCGGCCTTCATCGAGGACAACAAAAGCAGGCTGGTGCTGCTGTCGGAACGTGCCCACGGCATCTCCAGCCAGGACAACGGACAGGTGGAGGTAGGAGGCGTGGTCTGACCTTCTGCAGCCCCTCAGAGCCACCCGTGAGCGCTCTATACAGGGAGGCCCTCAGACAGCCCCTCCTGCAGGTCATGCTCCATCGGCGGCTGTGGAACAACCTGACCTGGAACCTGAACTACAACCTCACGCTGAATGACACCTCCATCGTCTCCCCGATGCTCTGGCTTCTGCTGGGGCCCCACTCAGTCACCACTGCCCTGCGCCCAAGGATGGGGCTGGCACTGCAGCACAGGCCCATCGTGCTGGTCAGAGAGCTGGCCAGCAAAGGGGTGCCCATGGCACGTAAGTATCGCTTCTGCCCCAGAACAAGCCTTTGAGCCATGGTGGCCTCAGGAGGGACTCATGCCCTCAGGGATCTGGGCAGCTTTGGGGCAAGGAGGAGCCTCAGAGATTGAAGGCAAACAATGGGTCTCTCAAGGGCACGCTGATGGCAAGCACAGAGCAGGGGCTCGAAGCTGTGCCACTCTGCACCTCTCCCAGATATGTCTTAATGTGACACTGTCACCATGCCACTTGAGGCCTGGGGTCCCAGCATTTGAAAGCTAGGTTTTGTCTGAGTCTGGGCATGCTCACCAGGCGGCCCGGCCTGCAAGGCTGCGCTTTGCCTCCATAGAGGCATCTGTAGATTAGCAACCATGCAGTTCTGTATCATTAAAATAGTGGAACCAGAGTAACATTAAACCGGGATTCCACCAGAAGACAGTCCTTGGAGCAGGCTTTGAAAAAGTAAACACCTAGCTACATTCTGGCCCCATCCTCAGGATCCTGGAACTCAGTTCGTTGCCTACCCACTTGCAGAGGTGTTGATTAGGGTGTGCTTGCAACATATTTCCTCCTTCAGTTTCACACCAGAACCTTCCCAGGGCCTCCACACTCTTGTAGCATGCATTTCCCCAACTGCAGGGCGAGGTGCCTCAGATGCAGCCCTGCCCTGCAGGAGTTTCCACAGCCTGAAGGGGGGACATGATGGTGCCTTGCCTTAGGAGGAGCACAGCTGGAAGGTCACACACCACTCCAGGTGTCCTCCCAGCTGGGACATGCTGCGCTCAGAGGGCACCTGTTCCCCGCTCCCCAGATTAGTCTGCTTCCCATCACAGTGATGAGATCTCTGGGAAAACCAACTTTAAGGAGAAAGGTTATTTTGGCACATGGTTTCAGAGGTTCCAGTCCTGGATTGCAAGCAACCCGTGATGTTTGGAGCCTTGGTGGAGGATGTCAGCTCACCTTGCAGAGGCTGGGAAACAGAAGGGATTGAAAATCAGTGTCCCCATCAAAGACCTGCCTCCAGTGAGCTAACTCCCTCTCAAGAGCACAGGCTGGTGACAAGTCTTCAACACATGGCCTCTGGGGACAGACAAGTTCCAAACCATAGCACCACTCAAAACTAAGACTCTGACTTCCCATCTCGAAGTGCAGTAGACCCAGGGAAGGCTTCTGATGGTCCTGCTGGCGTGAGGTGTCTGTGTGGCTGGGGTGCCATGCGCAGCTGCAGCTTGAGCGTGCCTCCGAGCAGGGCAGATGGATGTCAGGACAGGAGCAACTGGCTTCCCAGACCTCAAGTAGAAGGCAGAGCTGCGGGATCCTGGACGAGCTCTCTGGGCCTTAGTATCATCTATCGTTTGAATGTCTGGACTGGGGAGGCTCCAGATCCTTCCAGCCCCTCAGCTCTGTGATCCCAGCCATTGGATGTGGAGGGAACAGCCTTCAGGGGGAAGGGCCTGCAAGGGCAAGGGCAAGGGCATGGACGCCTGGGGCACCAGGACCACAGGTCTCAGGCTGCCTGGCATAGGCTGCCCACAGGATGGGAGAGAGATGGGCCAGAGGCCGGGGAGACGCCACATGGAGAGTTCTGAGTGCCAGAAGGAGGAGTTGGTCCTGAACCCCTCCTCACCCTGTCTGTCTGCCTTGCAGGATCTGCTCCTAAGCTCCCAGTACCCCAGGAGCAAGAAGCCGTGACACTGCCCCCAAATCTGCACCTGCAGATCCTGAGTATCCCTGGCTGGAACTACAGCAGAGTCCACACCAAGCACAGGTACCTTCGGAAAGGTGAGGCAGGCGTCCAGCGGTCCAGACCCACTCTTCCAGGAGACCACCAGACCCCTCAGCCCAGCACCAGACAGAGGAATTACCTCAGAGTCATTGCAGTTCTGTGGGGCCCTTATCTGGTCCCTTCTCTGCGGCACAGCCCACAGAGATGGCTGTCCTTATTCTGCCCAACCCTCAGGGCTGCTCAGGGTCCATCTCCCAGAAAACGGGCAGGTACCACTCCAAGAATGGGTGGCTGGTCCTGGGCTGGAGCCCACTTGCCCAGCTTGCCGGCTGACTCTGGCCACTCCCTGCCTGTGTGCAGGCTGTGGTCCATCCCCATTTGCTAGATGAGGGGCCCGGATACCTGCAACTGCCTGTAAAGTGGGCTCCCATAGCACCCCACTGCTCAGGGCAGGAGGTGGGGTCATTCTCTGACTCCGGGTTTCAGATCCGTAACCATTCCACCAAGAGCATACAGAAACATCTTTTACAAACCTCTTAGCTTGTGTGGGCTCCAGCAGCCGTTCCTGTGTGCTGTCTGAGAGCCAGCAAGCTCCAGCCTCAGGGCGAGCTTTGTAGGACTTCAGCCCCTCAGCGCCAGCCCAGAGTCTGTCAGCAGCCGGGGTGGCTGCAAGGCTGGGCTTCTGAGCCAGGGCTTCACAGTCAGCGGGCCCTCTTCCCAGAACCTTGGACCCAGGGCTTCCCCTGAGCCTTCTCTCCTCTGTAAGACAGGAGCGTCAGCACCAAGCCTCCCGTGAGGGGTGGCCAAGGGTAGGACATGAGATCCCAGGACACTAGGGCAAACAAGACCAGCGTGTCAGGCCGGTTGACCGGTCATGCCGTGGTCGCAGGGACCCCTGACTTGGTGCAGCATGCATTCATTCCTCCCCCGTTGTGTTTCCATGGGGGCAAGCGGGAAAGCCGCTCTCACTGAGGCCCCAGGACGCCATGTGCAGGTTGTGCTGCAGCACCTGCCTCCTCTTTACTGTGGAAAGTGACAGCTGGCTCCCACCACTCTGGGTGGTGTGGCTGCACCTCGCCTGGGAGGCAGGGCAGGAGAGAACTGGAGCCGTGAGGACAGCCCACTGATGACCTCACAGGGAAAGAGGACCTGGCTTCCGACCCGAATGGCAGGCTGGGAGGCCTGGAGTCCTCCCTCCTCGGTACTCCAACTTCCTGACCATGGGCAGGGACTTCCCCCTGAACCTTGGCTTCCTCTGCTGTCAAGTGGGGACGGAGCAGCTGCCTCTCAGAGAGGCTGAGGATGTGGAATGAGTCAAATGTAAAGTACCTGGGACACACCAGAGCCTTGAGGCTGGCTGGTAAGGGTCCTTACTGCCATCTTTGGTCCTTAAAGGCCACCAACCAAAGGCCCAAGCCGACCTACACCGCGTCCTGCTGCGGCTGCACCACCTGTATGAGGCGAAGGAGGACCCGTTCCTGTCTCAGCCGGTGACTGTGGATCTGGAGGTAACTGCCCCTGGCCCATCCCCGCAGACCACTGTGGCCGGCCTCCCCAGGAGAGTCTGAGGCCCTGAGTGAGTACCCCCGAGGGTACTCCGAGAGTTGGCCCTGGCTTTGTCAGTTACAGCAAGTCTGCTTCTTCCCCTCTGATCACTGACAACACAGACAGCGTTTGCATAATTAGGAACAAAGCAGATTGTGGCAGCCTTCCTCTGAAGATGACTTAGAGGTCCAGGGACCACCCAGCCCCACCACTGGGCTGTCTCCACCCCACCAGCCTCGGGACCAACTTCCTCTCCTGGTCAGCTGGGGAGATGCAGCGAGAGCCTGCCCACAAGTGCAGGCACCTGAGGGTCGCAGCATCCCCCCAGGGTGGTGCCTGTCCCCCAGGCCCTCATCCGGCCAGGCAACGGGGAAGCACACAGCCTGGCCTCAGTCTCCTCCTCTGTAAATGGGCTGGCAGACCCTTCCTTTCAGAGTGAAGAGCTGGACAGACACGTCCAGCAAGGCAGGGCCTGCCCTGGACAATGGACCCCACCCCCACTGCTGCTCTGCTCGGAACTAGGGCATCTGGGGCCACCCCTCACTCTGCTTCTGTCCCTGCAGACCATCCTGCGGGGGCTGGGGCCCGTGGTGGCGGTCAAGGAGCGCTCGCTCACTGGGACCTGGGACATACGTTCGCTGCAGCGCTGGAACTGGAGGACGAAGACTGGCCACCAGAAAGGTGGGAACCCCTGCCATAGTCCCAGCCAGGTCCCAGCCAGGCTCTGGAGCTGGACAGACCTGGTGCAGATGCAGCCATCCACCTTCATGGCCACGGGGTCTCAAGGGGCCCTTTCCCCCATGACCCTGCAGCCTCCTGATTTCCAGAGTAGGTCAAGAAAGGCTTGGATCAGTCTCCGCCTGCCAATGCCACACGCAGGCACACACATGAGCGTGCATGTGTGTGAGAAATGCACACATACACACGGACCGCACACCCTGCCCGTGCCCTGGGCAAGAGCCCCAAGCTCCTGAGTGTGGCCCAGGGGTTCTGCCAGAGTTGGCCCTGCAGAGTGGCCATCCTGTGCCCACTCTGCACCCACCATTAGCTCCCACAGGCTGGGCATCCTCATGCCTCCAGCTTTTCCATCCCCTCCCTCCTCCTCAGAAGGTCCCTGTCCTTTTCTCTGGCCTCCTCCAGTCCCCGCTAGGCAGGTGGCTCTGCTGCTCTCCTGCCCCAGTGCTTCCTCTATCCTGGGCATCGCCTCTTGTCCACTGCACACAGCATGGTGCCGAGTGCAGAGTGGACACTTAGTGGCAGGGAGAAGAGGAGGGACCCAGGTGAGGAAGGAGGCAGGACAGGTGTGCCTCCTCAGTGGCCATGTTTTACCAGGTGGCCCAGTTAGAAAGCCCGCAGGTGTTGAGTACAGACTCCAGGGGGAAACCCGTCCACTGGGGCCGGGACCAGCCTGTATGACATGCTCCGCCTGGGCCATGCCTCAGGAGAGGGAGACGTGGAGAGACCCATTTGTGTAAGGACCCCGGTGGGCACAGGCCTCAAGGGCCATGGTCACCATGGGAGCCACAGCAGGCTGTATGCAGCTGCAGGTTCTGGGGGGAGTCTGGAAGAAGCACCCTGCTAGACACACTCTGTGCTCCCCCAGGCCATCCCACCTCTCCCTCAAGACTGAAGAAAGGCCCCATCGTCACTGTCTACCCCAAGGAAATCCGCACGTTCTTCATCGACTTCCAGCAGCCATGAGTGGGTTGCCACACATTCAGGACTGCCCCAGCTGTCAGTGCCGAAGCAGAGGAAGAGCCATCAAGAGGGTCTGGGGTCGGGAACGAGCTGCTGATCCCACAGGCTGGCAGCAGAAAATGGTCCTATTTGGGATTTTCTCTTATTTTTTTTTAATAAAATTTATATTACAAAGTCTGGGTTCTCTCTCCAGTGCTCAAGCCCGCCCCCACTCTCCTCACACGTGAAGGATGTTTTCCTTCTTTCTTTTAATTTCTTTTGGTTTTAAAATAACCTTTATTTTAAAAAAAAGTTATGTGCATAATAGGAAACAGAAAAACACAATGAACAAAGTCATCAACACACGGGCAGCTTACAGCTGCGTGTCCTTCCTTACAGCTGCGTGTCCTTCTAGGTCCCCAGTGCACATGACGTCCAGTTTCATGTGGTCGGGCTGTTGGTGCGTATCATGCCTCCCACACATCATGAATATTTACCAACTCAAAATCCCAGGGCTACATGGTTTGATAACCAAGAATACACTGCAAATTCAGTCTGGGCAAAAAAGAAATGTCATCTTGCCTTTTTCACAAAACACAAAAATGGCACGACTTTGAGGTAAAGGACCGGCAGAGCCATGGTGAAACACTGCTCTGTGTCGCGCCCCACTGAAGACGAGACGACGGGGCGCACGAGGCACGGTTTCAGGAGCGCTTGTTTCCACATCCACACTGTTCACATGTCAGCCAGAAGCTCTGTGCCACTGACTGCTTGACATCCCACGTGCAGCCAGAGAGGTGCCCACAGGCCAGGGTGGATCTCGGGGGCGAGAGCACTCACCTGGCTCACCCGCGCCCTGGGTGCCAACCCCAGCACCATGAAGAGAAAGACAAAAAGTAAACCTGAATGCATGTGCACACACCTCTCCCTGTCCCTCCACCCTCTGCTGCCGCCCACAGTCAAGTCCTGACACACACTGCCTAGAGGTGGCTGTGGGAGGCCATCGCGCTATGTGACCAGCATTTTCCTTCCCTGATCAGTTGAGGCCCTGTCGGTCACTTCCAAGTGATCTGGCCACATCAAAGTGGCTCTAGATGGCTACACCGATCTTGGAAGCCGCAAAATGTCACAAAATGTGTCCTCATGCATAGGCGCGCCTTCCTGTAGCCCCACAGTTCCAGCTATGCTCACCCGTTTCCTTTGTGATATTACCCCCTTGCCCTGTTTAGGTTAGTGTCTCCATGGAAACACCCTTTGTGTGTCCCCTTCTCTTGCTCTGCCTTTGGGTCAGTCCTTTCTAGCTGACAGCATACATCATGAAGCTAGACTCAGCCCCTTGAAACCTGACCTCTTGCCTCATTTGAATGGCTGCTCCTCTATAAAAGGGGTCAGCGGGTGCTTGTACTCTCTCTCGCTCTCTCATTCTGCAGACCCTTAAGGTCAGAGGAGCCGTCACAGGACACAAAGAAAAAGGCATCTCGGTCTCTTGGGTGGTTATTTCGTGCAGCCCAGTTCCCCTGAAGTGACTCTTGAGTGTTTTAGTTGCGAGGAACACAACAGGTGGCGAAACAACTCCACAGAAGAAAAGATGCTTCTTTTCTCTCAACGATGTCAGAGATATTTAAATCAGCTCATTCACTAGCTCACTTTTCCCCACAGGTGTCAGTGCGAGACATCTACAAAGCTTAGGTGCCTCAAAATAAAGACCCACCTCGCTCCACATTAAACACATGTACCTGATGTTAAAGCACCAGACCTACGGGTACAATCTAAGCCAGCTGTGAGCTGCAGAAGTCCTAGCAAGGAGCCCCACACACACATACCTTGCTCTGCTCCCCCTTGACCTTTCCAGCCACGGAGCATGGCACTAATCTAGCTCCCAGAGGCGGTTGACAAAGCTACTCCCAGGAGACAGTACTTCCTAACAACTAACAAAAGGACGGTTACACAGGGATTATTTCACCACCTCCACCTTAAGTATACTGGGGGCAATGTGGCCTGCTTATCCTTTATACATTGACTAAAATGGCTGGACAGCTAAACTAACATAGCTGGGGCAGAGCCTCTGCATCCTGCCTCCTGCTCCACCCACTACTACCCAGGCCCCACAGTCTGCAACGCATCAAAGTTCACAATTCCCAGTGCAACACTTCCGTGAAACTGCAGAAAGCCTGCCAAGAAGCTTGCTGCAGCCCACTCCCACCACGTGCGGTGCCCTTCTCAACATCTAGAAAGACTTCAAGCTTCCAGTCAGGGCTGAGGCGTCCTGCTGTGCACAGAGGCCTTGGTCTGCAGACCAAGAAGGCAGTAATTAGAAAGTGGCTTCTGTGTAGGAGCATTCCTACCTAGAGCCCTCCCCTTCCCTCTCCTGTCAGCCAGTGGCCAGGTGCTTGCTTCTGTGATGCATACGGGGTGGTTGTAACAACTTCCCCTTGGTGCACAATTGGTTTTAGGAGCAGCCCCTGGCTCTGAACACACTTGGAGTGTGCACACTAGCTCCGGTTCTGTCATGCACCAGTAATTTCCTTAACATTTAGAGACCAGATGCTGTAAACTGACACTCTCTTCTTTTTTACACAGTGCACACAGCAAAGGCAAACAGCACAGGACCCAAGGACATGGCTACCCTTCCTCATGCGAGCCCTCTGACATTGGGCTCTTTGCACCCCTTCTCCCCAGACTCACACACAAACAAAGGAGCTAGGCTATTCTCCCCAAAACAACATTTCCGGTGAATTTTAACAAGATATTTACAAAATGTGTTGTTACTACCTCTACTTTTAAGAGGTTCCAGGCAATTCAGAACAGCTAGAAAAACTGGATGATTCAAAGAAGTACCTAGCACTGTCGATCATGTGTACAGCAGTGAAGAATAGCACACGCACACAGTGGTCGCAACAGGAAAATGTCCTCTGCCTATGACTGGCACAGAACCTTCTCTTTATTTTCGGATCTTCTAATCCATGTGGCTCCTGGTATGGCCTCTAAGGGAGGTCTAATGGATCCATTTCATTTCCATGGGGCTAGAGGGGTAAACTAGTGGTAGAGGCCAGCACGCACAAGACCCAGGGTTTTATCCTCAGCACCAGAAAAAAAAAAAAAAGTTGGAGAATGCTCAATCTTCTCAGGCACATATGCAAAGTGCGTGCTAAAATTGTCCAGGTCATTAGACAAATATTAACAAATTTTAAACAGCATAAAACAAAACTCCATTTCTAAACAGAATGCAATTAAGTTAGAAATCAGAAGAGCATAAATGGCTCTCGAATGTTTGAAAAACATTTTTTTTTTGGTGGGGGGTGGGGGTGGGGGTTACTGGACATTGAACTCAGGGTACATCCCCAGCCCTATTTTGTGTTTTATTTAGAGACAGGGTCTCTCTGAGTTGCTTAGCAACTCTCTTGCTGAGGCTGGCTTTGAATTTGGAATCCTCCTGCCTCAGCCTCTCAAGCCACTGGGATTACAGGTGTGCACTACCACACCTGGCTTGAATAACATTTTTTCAAAATCTAATAATTTGTCAAAATTACAGTGGGAATAAATGTACTTATAAATAAAGAATAATGAGGGGCTGGGGTTGTAGCTCAAGGCAGAGTACTTGCCTTGCATGCCTGAGGCACTGGGTTCGATCCTCAGCACAACATAAAAACAAATAAATAAAAATAAAGATATTGTGTCCCTCTACTGAGAAACTGATGACTCCATTTTTGAAAACTCAGCTTCTATCTCAAGGCCTGTCCAAAGGGACGGCGTGACCCTTGTCCTTGGAAAAACCCACAGAGTGCTCCTAGGCACATAGCCACCCTGCTGAGTTGTTTGTCTGTAAATAACAGGAGAGATCTGGGCGCTAGGCGTCCTAACTCAGTTAAAAGAGAAAATAAAGAAATGCTGGAGACCTGGCCCCTACTGAACACTGGACACCTGGCATCTTATGCCCGGCATGAAAGTACGTGGTGGAAGGGACCCACCTCACCTCATCCTGGAGAAGAGGCAGTGTTTTCCAGTTCTTTGGCAGGGTGTGAGTCATCTGCCCCTCACTCCCTCTAAATCAACCTTCTATTTTAGAATAGTTTTAGGTTTGCAGCAAAAATGGGCAGCAAGTGCAGTTCCCATATCACCACTGCTCCCGGAAGCACAGCATGTGTGCAATCAGTGAAACCATGTTGGCAGACCATCGTCACCCGGTCCTGCCTTTACTTTAGGGTCCATTCTGGGTGGCATACATTCTGAGGGTTCAGACGCGTATCCACCAGGATAGTCTCACACAGAGCAGTTTCACTGCCCTGAACATCGGGTCCACCAAACTCTGCCTGCCTACCCCTTTCTCCTCCAGCAGCCACTGAGCTTTTTGCTATCTCCATAGTAGCCGGAATTGAAGCCAGAATTGGGCAGGCAGTCAGTATAGACAGGTAAATCGAGTCAGGTCGGGTCAAGGAGGCCAATTTTGAGTGAGTCTGGGAAGTTGGAGACTGTCCCCTGAAGGATCTTAACAAGAACCTGCCCTTGTTCCAACCTGTTGCCAAGGTCACCAGTCCCAGGAATTTCCCCTCCCTCCAGGGAGTTATCAGATTGTTAAAGGGTCCCTCTCTAATCCACCCGGCCCTTCCCCCTTGGCCCACCAGTTTTCCACTTTCTGGCCCTTCCCCCTTGGCCCACCAGTTTTCCACTTTCTGGCCCTTTCCCCACAGAGCATTTCCTAGGCCTTGTCACGTAAGCAGGAAAAAGAAAGATAAGTGGGAGAAAGACAGGAGAACAAAGGAAGCCTAGGACTCATAAAAAGGGCAGAACACCTTGCTTCTTGGGATACCAGCTAAGGCCCCCTTCTCCCTCATGGTTTAGGTCTATGTTAGCCCTCCCTTTTTTTAAAACATTTATTTTTTAAGAGTAGTTGGGACACAATACCTTTATTTATTTTTATGTGGTGCTGAGGATCAAACCCAGGGCCTCACCGTGCTAGACCAGTGCTCTACCGCTGAGCCCCAGCCCCAACCCTATGTTCCCCCGTTTTAAATAAACCCTGCTTCATATGTTTGCCTCAGCGCGCTTCTCTAATGTTCAAACTTCAACATGTGGGGAAGCAGGACTCATCACAGAAAACCGGAAGTATCAGAATCATGTAGTATCTGTAGAGATTGGCTTTTACTTAGTAAGATGCACTCAAGGTTTCCTCAATGTCATTCACGGCTTGATAGCCTGTTTTCTTTTAGGACTGAATTATATTCCATTTATCTGGGATATAGTTTATCCATTCACCTGTTGAAGGCCACTTGCTACTGAGTTTGGGCAGTTAGGAATAAAGCTGACATAAACATCTATCCACAAGTTTTTGTGAGAACAAACAGGTTGAACCCAGTTGAATAAATATCAGAGTGTGATTGCAGAATCACATAGTTAAGAGTTTCTTTAGTTTTAAAAATTAACTACCAGGACTGGGGATGTAGCTTAATGAGCACATTGCCAAGAGCACTTTCCAAACTTGCATCAGTCTCTGGGTTCAATTCCCAGCACCACAAAATGATAATAATAAACTACCACACTGTCTTTCAGGGTGGTTGTGCCATTTTGCACTCCTACCAGCAAGGAACAAGAGTTTCTGTTGAGCCACATCCTCACCAGCATTGGGTATTGTTAATATTCTGCATCTTAACTATGCTAATAAGTGTGAAATGGAATCTCATTGTCATCTGGGCCATTAATTCTTACTTAAGAAAAATTTGAGATAGGTGCTTCTGATATATCAAGAAAGCCCCAAAACCTGGAATTTTACAAGAGGAGCAACCAAAATATAAAGAAACGAGGCCAGGCACGGTGGCAACCGCCTGTAATCCCAGTGACTCGGAGGCTGAGGCAGGAGGATAGCAAGTTCCCCACCAGCCTCAGCAACTCAAGCCCTCAGCAAGACCCTGTCTCGAACTGCAAAAATACATAAAAATAAAAAGCTGGGATGTAGCTCAGTGATAAAGCATCTTTGCACTCTTGGATTCAAAGCCCAGGACCCCACCCCCGCTCAAAACAAAAACAAAAACAAATCTGACAAAGGCCTAAATAAAAGAGATGCACTTTACACA